TCACAGAATGAGTTTTTAATTCTGACCTCAATTTCAAACTTGAATAAATATAACAAAATCTAAATAATGTCTTTCTTTTATTATATATTTATTTCATGTTATCATACGATGATTTGGTAGTACAAATATATCTCGATTTTTGAAGTATTAGGTTTCATTACGCATCACCTTAATTCAGGAACTGATGTATGTCTTGAATACAGATTTTAACTTTTTATATCTAAAATGGTACCATGTTGTCCGAAACAGATGTTTTCTTTATACCTATGTGCTGTAAACAAGTGTCAGTAAGTTGTGAATTCTTTACTAGTTGTAAAATATAATCACTTTGTACCAAATCATGTTATCAATTGGTCTATTTCAAATCACTGTGATAACGTTTCCGTGCAACCCCAGTCTGAATTTAGTATCATTGATATGCAGTACATTACTTCAAACAAAATGGACCAGGCACTGTCACAGGGTTTTCTCTACTCTTTGATAGAGTAACACTGCTATTATTATCATTAAAAGTTTATTATGTAGAAGATGGTTTTAAGGAACTTACAGCAGCACTATATATGCTACCCTAATCACAATCTGTCAAATTTGAACGTACAGTTTTGGGTTAAAGCACTGTATTCACAATCTGTGAGTTACAGGTTAAAATCCAGTCACTGAACATGCTCACGCTTTCAGCCATGATAGTGTTATAATGTAACAGTCAATCCCACTCTTTAACTAGAGTAGCCCAACAGTTGAAATGGGTTGAATTGACTAGCTGTCTTCCCACTGGTCTATCACTTCTAAGGCAGAAACAGCTAGTGTAGTTAGCTCTCAAGTGGATTTTTACAAAATTCAAAAAAACAGTTGATACTGCTAACAGAGTGTAGGGAACAGTATGTAAAGTCTTGTTCTTCTGTATTGTAAGAAGACAATACTGTTAATAAGGTAAGCCCCTTATGACTCTCCCCTACATTTCTTTTAAAGTATTAAGAGCACCACTTTACCATAAACTAGGGTAAGCCCCTACTAGCAAGTTACAAAGAGAAACCAGAAACTTTCCCGATGACAGCAGATCGAAACAGATAGTATCAGGAAGACGAATGTCTGAACACAGACTATCAAAGCACAAAATAAAATCAATTTCAAAATGTACCACATAATATAAACATACAAACAGTTCAAAAACAAATACTGTTTACTGTAATCACTTAGAAACAGATATGACCCCAACGATTTCTCTGAACCATGCTTTTGAAATTGACATTGGATGCAAATAAAAACATTCAACAAAGTTTTATTAAACACTGTTAATATTGTGATACTATCTAAATAGTCTATTTCAAAGTCACTACAGTATCTGTTTGGATTTACTGTCATTGGGAAAATTTCTGGTTTCTCTTTGTAACTTGCTAACAGTATCTGTTTGGATTTACTGTCATTGGGAAAATTTCTGGTTTCTCTTTGTAACTTGCTAACAGTATCTGTTTGGATTTACTGTCATTGGGAAAATTTCTGGTTTCTCTTTGTAACTTGCTAACAGTATCTGCTTGGATTTACTATTTATTGGAGAATGTTCTCTCTCCATTTGTAACTACTATAACTCAGTCTGGATGTTATAAATGCATGCTTCTAGAAACAGACGTATAGCAGTACTTTAAACCACTTTATTATGCCATGTGTTCACAGTCTCACAAGTTTCAGTTTCATAATACAAGAAAAGGAAAGCTAACTGAGAATGTTATATTGTAATGTTTTTATTTATCTCACTTATTTGTATTAATATTAGTAGCTTCCAGATACAGAACTAGAAATGTGACTTTTAAATTGAATCGGGTAAAGTGTCTGCCAGTGATATTAATGAGTTGTGTAAAGTCCGTTTTACAGTTTACAAGATTTGATATTGTTTTCGATATTATATGTAAATCACGTGATCACCATTGAGTTTACACTTTAGTACACGAATAAAAGGTTTCCAGTTACGTTTCTGGCTTTTCTGTTGTTATGGGTTACACTGTTAGACATAATAGATGAAAGTCAAATTGTATTATCAACTTGCAGGCCATCTGACATCCCCCCCCCCCCCGTTTTTCCTTATTTTGTTTATAAACCAAAATTTTCCCAACCCTTCCTATTTGGGGGGAAAATAAAGGGTTTTTATACAACCTTTTTAGTAACAAACCGGTTGACACAGATGTTCCAGATTTTATCAGTGAGGTTTTTGCACATTTCCTTAGTACCTAGAGTCGTTGGTATGTATATGAAACATGACAAACATGAACTCGTAGTAGAGACCTTGGAATGTGTATCACACATTTAAAAACATGAAACTCTAGGAGAGGTCTTGGTATGTGTATCACACATTTAAAAACATGAATCTCTAGGAGAGGTCTTGGTATGTGTATCACACATTTAAAAACATGACAAATATGAATCTCTAGGAGAGGTCTTGGAATGTGTATCACACATTTAAAAACATGACAAACGTGAATTTCTAGTAGAGACCTTGGAATGTGTATCACATTTAAAAGCATGAACTTCTAGGAGAGACCTTGGAATGTGTATCAAATATTTAAAAACATGAACCTCTGGGAGAGACAGGTGAAACAAAACTAGGTGAGTATATCATTAAGTACTAATTAAGTTTATTAATTAACATCCGCTTCAATAAAATTCTTCATTGTGTTAGGAGACACCAGTTGTGTCTGGTATGTTTCTTCTCTAATGACTGGTTTCAGTGGGACATCTAATCTTTATTTCACATAATGACCAGTTTTGTTAAGATATATTTGTTCTCCATTCATGAAGTCCCTCAGTAAGTTTCTGGACTTAAAACACTAAAATCTAGTGTTTGATTCTCCACAGTGGACACAGCAGATAACTCAATGTGGCTCTAAAACAAACAAACCATTATTGACCAGTTTGGCTTAGACATCTAATCTATCTTTGTTCTCACTCAGTAATCGGTTTAGTTAAGACATCTAATGGCTTTGTTCTCTCCTAATGACCAGTTATTTAGATATCTAATCTTTAGTTTTGTTTTCTCTCGCAATGGCCAGTTTAAGACTTTAATTTCGTTCTTTATTAATGACCAGTTTCTTTTAGACGTCTAAGATATAAATTTTTAGCCAAGGGTGTAAGTGTTTTGTACCCCCTTTTCACTTCAAATTCAGTTTTTAATTAGAAATGTTTTAAGATGAATTTCTGTTGTAATTTCTCATTTTTTAATGCATAAAACACTAATTGTGCTTATAGATGCTTGGAAGTTATTTCACTCCTTAATAAAGAGTTGGGTTTAGTCCATGCCCCAAATTATTGGATTGAGATACTATAAATGAATACTTTTTTCACTAACTTGTGTATGGCCCTTGCTGTATTTAAATGAAAAGAAACATGTCTTTTCTGTTCATATTTAGTTATGTAGCGTGTTGCAATATTCTTGTTCGGATAGCATTACTTAGCAAGATATGGGTTTCTAATTATATAGAGTTATGTAGCAAGACATGGGTTTCTTCATCATATAGAGTTATGTAGCAAGACATGGGTGTCATGCTTATACAGAGTTATGTAGCAAGACATGGGTGTCATGCTTATACAGAGTTATGTTCCAATGCATTGATATAACTATGTAACAAGTTACATCTTGTTATCTGTTGTTTTTACAAACTAGTCTGTTACTTTGCATGTCAGAATTCTAAGTCATTTCGTTAGGATTAAGTAACAAGACACAAGTTTCCTGTTCATGTTATAAGGGAACCTTAATGTCATGAACAGGAAACTTGTGTTTTGTTACTTAACCCTAACTAAATGACTTAGAATCCTGTCTTGTTAGTTAAGAAATGACTTAGAATCCTGTCTTGTTAGTTAACCCTTATAACATGAACAGGAAACTTGTGTCTTGTTACTTAACCCTAACTAAATGACTTAGAATCCTGTCTTGTTAGTTTTAATATTAATCCACCCTAATGACATGAACAGGTAACCTGTGTCTTGTTACTTAACCCTAATTAAATGACTTAGAATCCTGTCTTGTTAGTTAACCCTTATAACATGAACAGGAAACTTGTGTCTTGTTACTTAACCCTAACCTTCCAGTCAGATAAAGCTAAATACTTAGAGTAAAACTATTTATAAATATTAGAATGCATTGTTTCATCCGTTCGGTACCCTCACTGCTAATAATATTTTTGACCATAATCCAAATAATATCTCGTAAGGTTTGACCAGCTTAGGTTAGTCATAAATACATATATTAAGTTAATAATAACCAAAATAAGAATCAAATAAATTATGTGTACTTACTAGTATAACCAGTACTGTTAATGAAAGTAACAATAAATACATAATGTATCTTATAAGGTAGAGATTTCCTGTTTTTGATATTAGGGTTAAGTAACAAGACATGATCTTCTCTACGCTTGAGTTTAGAATGACACACAACACAGTTATTCTTTAGTTATATTGGTAACCACCAGGGTTTTGATTGATATGCTTATTTTGGCTGATGTTTTATATTTCAGGATATTGAAGAAGTGAAAAAGATGAAAAGTGATTAAGAAATGTCATTGAGATAGTGAAGACACCAAGAGTAGGGTTTGTCTAAAGTAAAATATTTGACTGGATAGTCCCATCCGCATTTGAAAGAAACTAACACTTGTTATCTGTTGTTTTTACAAACTAGTCTGTTACTTTGTATGTCAGAAGATCAGGTTAAATGTGTTGTTTATGTACATATATTTATTTATTTATTTTAAATAGTCTTTATTTTTTCAATATACCACAGTATATTACCCACAACTGCACATAGGAAATATGCGTAGATTAAGAACAATCTTTTAGGTAGCCAATCAGGTAAAGCATTTATTATGTTTGGGTAAAAATGCTATTTTTCTTTTTTACCAAATTTATACGAAGCAGAACATAGTTTAATATAGAAATAACTAACTTTTCGTTTGTTCAAATTGATTTAAAATCAATTAACATAACTCACTGAGTTTAATATTAATTTAAACAAAATATTTTGTGATTTAACTTGAATAATTAAACTGATATAACTGACGTTAATTTGAATACAACTTTTTTGGTTTACCCAAACAGTAAATAAAACAAAACAACCAACCCCACGAGACACGTGTCACCAGAAATTGTAGAGTTCTGTTAACATTTTTAAGTCTGTCCTCGATTTTACTAAATCAATGTGTTCATAGGCTAGCGAGTTTTGTTAATTAATCAAAATACTGAACTTCTTACACTTGTTAAGAAAGAAACATTGTTATCAGTAACTCTGAACAGTTTTCAGACTGGCTACTGTGCTTAGATGTGTAGCCTAATTTTGCTAGTAACACTTGTACTTGGATGTTATAAGATGGACGTGTCAGGCAGCAAGATTTACAGGGGCCACTTTGACTCGGATATCTATTGAAACTAAGAAATGAGCAGTCTGTCATTGTTACATCTTTCATACAAAAAAGGAACTTTTTAATAAGACCTGAAACTTGTCGCATCATCTGAAAATAACCTCATTTTCTTCATGTGCGAACAAAGAGTGCCTTTAAATGTAACAGAATAAACAACTCCCTCCCCTGTGAGTTACTCTTAAAACTCAGATTCTCTCACAACAGACTGTGGTGTTTCATTAAAAAAATTCACTGATGGACAGTATTTTAAAACTCCTTAACAATCATTTCTAAGATGATCATTTGAATTATTACATTTTGAATTTTATTCTCAGAGTTAATATTCAACATGTGTGATATAGCCCTTCAATTCTGGATATGTATCCCCTTGTAATATTTCAAAACCCCTGACGTTGTACACTCACTCTCTTGTAATCTTCGATCACTCCTGGAAATTTTTTACACTATACTTCCTCACTGCTCCTCAATATTGAATATTTGTTACACAACAAAACCACTGCTCCTCAGTACTGGATAGTTGTCACACTAAAAACCCTCACTGCTCCTCAATACGGAATATTTGTTACACTACAACCAGTTGTTGCTTCTCATTTCTGGATGTTTGTCTCCTCAATACTGGATACTGAACATTCTCAATGCTGCCAGAGATTTAGTAGGATTATTGATACAGATTTATCAAAATGTAAAAGTAACAAAATATGGAAAATAATCTTCTACTCTCTCATTTAATTTTATACATCCTTTATTCACCCAAAATAACAGTTACTGAGTAACTATTATTTATTTTATAAATTATTCTGATTGAGTTCCAGGTAAAGTAACTGTTGCTAGGTTACTCTTGTTTATTTTATAAATTATTCTGGTTGAGTTCCAGGTAAAGTAACTGTTGCTAGGTTACTCTTGTTTATTTTATAAATTATTCTGGTTGAGTTCCAGGTAAAGTAACTGTTGCTAGGTTACTCTTGTTTATTTTATAAATTATTCTGGTTGAGTTCCAGATAAAGTAACAGTTGCTAGGTCACTCTTGTTTATTTTATAAATTATTCTGGTTGAGTTCCAGATAAAGTAACTATTGCTAGGTCACTCATGTTTATTTTATAAATTATTCTGGTTGAGTTCCAGATAAAGTAACTGTTACTAAGTAACTCTTGTTTATTTTATAAATTATTCTGGTTGAGTTCCAGATAAAGTAACTATTGCTATGTCACTCATGTTTATTTTATAAATTATTCTGGTTGAGTTCCAGATAAAGTAACAGTTGCTAGGTCACTCTTGTTTATTTTATAAATTATTCTGGTTGAGTTCCAGATAAAGTAACTATTGCTAGGTCACTCATGTTTAATTTATAAATTATTCTGGTTGAGTTCCAGGTAAAGTAACTGTTGCTAGGTTACTCTTGTTTATTTAGTAAGTTCTCATAAAGCCACAGACAGAAATCACAGATACTAGTTAACTTGTATTTATTTTGGAAGACCTCTAATTGTTTCGTTAACTGATATTGAAAATGTTTCAAATAGAGTAGGAATGACAAAACCTGGAATTTCAGGCAAATTGCCATAATCACTGCCTGAGTATTGAATTGTTTATTTGTTCAGCTATACATCTATTTAAATAACTTTGTTATGTGTAAAACTGAAATGAGACTTGAAGATGATTTAGTGAATAACTGCCAGAACTTCTGTATATATATTTGTGTATATGATTTATTATATTTAAATTCTAGTCATTTGGTAGAAATGATTATATGTGTTACAAGTACACATCACCTAAATTAACTTTTTAAAAAATCAGTTCCACCTCTGAGTTATTTGTTTTTGTTACTTGTTACAACTGTACAGTTTTAAAGAGGAATATATACAAACAAATTTTTTTAACTAACTTCTGAAAACTGTAAAATTTATTAATTATGTTAACAGGGTAAATGTTTACTTGTTTTGGTATACCACACAGTCTTTCTCAAGTTTTTGTTGGGAGCCTAACGATTAACAGGATATCTACTGTTATATGTTTGTTTTAAGGTAAAAAAATAAATTGAAAGGCTTATATTGTTGATTGATTTGTACATCTTGGCAAATGTAAAGAACTGAATATCTGTTATGTTATCTTGACAGTGAGAGTTTTAACCAATCTTCTTTAAAATAGTTTTGATATTTACATAATACAAAATTATAATATATTTAAGTCTGTTGCAAAGTTGAGGGTGCTTGACTAGTGATGTATATTTTACAATGATAGATTAAAAGTATAAGGAGTGGCTTCTAACAAGTCAATCTAGAGGGGTCTAGGGGCATACCCCCCAGAAAATTAATATAATTTACAGTTGTTATATAAGTTAAAGTCGGGGTGCTACAGCACCCCCAGTTCCGACACCTCTATGTTCATATTTGGACTGGTGGTTAGGGTGCTCAACTCGGAATTTAAGGGTCACAGGTTCGAATTCCCGTCACACCGAACTTGCTCACCCTTTCAGCTGTAGGAGCATTATAATGTGATGGTAAATCCCACTATTTGTTGGTAAAACAGTAGCCAAAAAGTTGGGGGTAGGTGGTGTTGACTAGCTGCCTTCTCTCTAGTCTTTCACTACTAAATTAGGAATGGTTAGTGTAGTTAGCCCTCGTGTAGCTTTGCTTGAAATTCCAACCAATCTGTTCATATTAGCCATCTCCTGTGTTCATCTATAAATTCTCTGTACGATACTATAATCTCGATGTTATGAAAGACACTCTCCTAACTTAATTACATATACTCGCTTCCAAAACACTGTGTTGAATCACATAATATTTGTTATTAAAGTGTCCTTTCTGAGGCTTTGAATGTGTTGATTACGAAAGCGAAGAAAAATTAGAACAAAAGATGAGGACTCAGTTCTGGAACATCGTGTATTATTTATCTTTGTTATTAAAAATATAAACTTTAATTTTAGCAACGAACTTTATTATCTAAGTGATTCATTGTTTTCATACGTTTATTACAATAGCAGATTATTTGTTTTTATTAAACGTTTTGGCTTTATTCTTAACCCTAATTCTAAACGTATAAGAAACAGTATTTGAAAAATAATTAAAGACTTCCTTCTCAAAAGAGAAGTCAGAAGAGCGGAATTATTCTATCGTGCTTATTACAGGAAATTATAACCTAATCTAAAACTACCGTTAAAAAGTTGTAGTTTTTTCTGATTGCTTGACTGTTGTTAGAGAATATTGATACCTGAGTTTAGAAGCATATTAATTATTATGCTAATATATTAATAAATTGACAAACAATGATGTAGAAACATAAATGTAGTCATACTAAAGTCTAAACGTGCCGACAGAACATTAGCCTATCTTGTTGTGAAAAAACAATTCCGTTATGCTTATAATTCGACGTTTGGCAATTTATTACTATTAATTATAATTTATTTATTATTAGTACAATGTGTGTACATTTATTACCTGAACGGCCTTTTCTCTCCTTTTATAAATCGTTTTTATTATTTATGATTTAAATAATCCGTGATACGTTCTTCCGCTAAGCCTTGTAGTACAAGAGAAAAATTGGTTACTCCTGATGACTGATGTTAACACCGCAGAGCTCGGGTAGTTGGGTGTTCCAATTTATGAGAGTCAAAATTTTATAAACAGTATATAAGGTAAAGTGACACATTTACTTGAGATGAACTGATGTTGAAGAGGGAATTAGAAGCAGATTGTTTGTATCGCATAATAACACACTTTGTTTTATTGTATTAGAAATGTAGAGTTTTAAAGTAGATATAGTCTGTATTGTTGATTTCCATTAATAAAAAATAACGTGTTTTCAATCACGATAGTTTTGTTTTTCTTGTGTTTTAGGACTGTTTAAATTGATACTCTCAATTTTAAGTTAATTAAATAACCGATTGTGGGAAACGCCTGTTTAGGACATCAAATATATAGTTATGATGAACCTGGTGAGAAAAACGGCTGCTGTGTAAGGATATAATAGACATAATACGAAATAACAAACTGTTCTACAGAAACATCTGATAAAGATGTAATTTAGAAAGAGGAAGTAGTCGGTCAACTTTCTTTTTAAACTTACGTTATTCGAAAACAGGAAATAACATTAAGTTGGTTCACTTCCTTTTAAAACTTCCTGTTCTAAAACAGGAAATAACAACATTACAATTATCTCACTTCCTTTTTAAACTTCCATTATTCAAAAACAGGAAATAACATTAAGTTGTTTCACTTCCTTTTTAAACTTCCTGTGTTCTAAAACAGGAAATAAAATTAAGTTGGTTCACTACCTTCTTGAACTTCCTTTATTAGAAATACCATCTTAATTTATTTTAATATCACTTTTCAATGATCAACTTTTTTCTCTGGCCGCTTCTTTCTGACCTCATTATAATCCTTGCTATCGTGGCAATGCGGATAATTAATTATTCTTTTTTTTTGTAATTTGGTAATTAAATCGCCAAGCTGCTCTTAAGAATTTTTTAAGTACATTCCGGTTTCATTCTGAACTCGGAGGTCGTACAGTCTTTCATGAAAATATAGATTGTACTGTCTTAACTGAAACATTACCCTTCATTCTGCAAAATCCAGGGGAAAACACACACATATATACTCTAGCCGGATCTATAGGGCGTGCAAAAGAAATGAAAGAGAAATCCTATCATAGCAGATATTCACATTTAACTGGGTGTATATGAAGGATGGTTTCTAACCAAACAGATTGGGTTTCCTTTAAATGATCTGTTTACTGTTTGGGACATAGACGGCTGATAAGATGTTAGTATGAATTTTAAGTAAATTACCTAATTGAATACTGTATCGTTATGTGTAATAATTTTTTTTCGTTAGTTTCAAAATATCTGTGTTTCTTGTGTACAATAATTAGGACATTACAAAACTTTTTAACAAAACCAAATGTAAACAAATAAATATTAAGATGAGTATTTTCTCTGCAATTCGCCTAACGTTATGTACAAGCAAGAAATTGCTTTAGAAAAATAACTCGGGTAAAATTATATTAATCAGTTCTTAGTGTACAGTAACCATTGTTTAATGTAAAACAATCGGTGCTTAGTGTACAGTAACCATTGTTTAATGTAAAACAATCGGTGCTTAGTGTACAGTAACCATTAATTAATGTTGCACACTAAACAATGGTTACTGTACATTAAATAAATAATGTTGTATACTAAACTTACTGTACATTAAATATTACTGTACATTAAATAATTAATGTTGCACACTAAACAATGGCATTGTTTAGTGTACAACATTAATTATTTAATGTACAGTAATCATTGTTTAGTGTGCAACATTAATTATTTAATGTACAGTAATCATTGTTTAGTGTGCAACATTAATTATTTAATGTACAGTAACCATTGTTTAGTGTACAACATTAAGTATTTAATGTACAGTAATCATTGTTTAGTGTACAACATTAATTATTTAATGTACAGTAATCATTGTTTAATGTACAACATTATTTATTTAATGTACAGTAACCATTGTTTAATGTAGAACATTATTTATTTAATGTACAGTAACCATTGTTTAGTGTGCAACATTAATTATTTAATGTACAGTAATCATTGTTTAGTCTACAACAGTTCTTTCTTGAACCTCTTCTTCATTATTAATCAGAACATCCCCAAAATGTTTGTTTCTCTTCCACAAATTATTCTATTTTCGAAACCGTGTGATAACTTTCGTTTTAAATGTAGTCGAAGCCAGTTTGAAATTTCATCCATGAATGATAACCTTGTTTCAAGAACGTCGTCACTGTCAGACAGGTTAGTTAAAAGAAGCCTTATAAGTATATATTTCAGATGTCACGCTCAAACTCACGAAGACTTGAAACCATGTTGAAAAGTCAAAGGTCACAGCAAAGAATTTTGTTTCTTTTTACTTGTGACAGAAGCGCCAGGTTTCAGATGATGAACAGAGAGAAACGAAATTCCCCTTCGTGGATACATTAATTAAAGACTGTTTTATCTTGTAAGAGAATCAGTTATAACACGAGTTGAACACCGGATCTAAATTATAACTTCGTGAAGAAAACATATTTATCTCATTATGGAGAATTGTAGTGTGAAAAACATCAAACTGATTCGATCAATGATCAAATCAGCTCCACGTGAAAATCCAAGATTGGTGTCCAGAATAAGTTTCACGTACAATTATATTCTATGTTCAAATCAGTTCCAGTTATACTACACTATGTCTGTATCATAGATTCAACATAGGTGTCGTTACAATGTGGTGAAATAATTGTTCGAAATCAGCTCAGTTCTACTAAACTTTGTCAAAATAATAAATCAAAATAGGTGTCGTTACAATGTACTGAAATAAATGATCAAAATCAGCTCAGTTCTACTAAACTTTGTCAAAATAATAAATCAAAATAGGTGTCGTTACAATGTACTGAAATAAACCAGTTCCATTTACACTATTCTATGGCAAGGTCAAAGAACAAAATCAGTTCGTAACTTTGTTAAAACTATCTTGCTGAATTCTTTTCAAATACACTAAAGGAATCAATTCGTAACTTTGTTAGAATTATATCGCAACATTTTTTTTTCTCAAAACGCAATAAAACAATGTACCGATATAGTTAACCAGGATGAGGAAGTGTTAACAGTCCTTTTTGTAAACAATATACCGATATAGTTAACCAGGGTGAGGAAGTGTTAACAGTCCTTTATGTAAACAATGTACCGATATAGTTAACCAGGATTAAGTATTGTTGACAGTCCTTTCTATAAACAATGTACCGATATAGTTAGCCAGGATTAAGTATTGTTGACAGTCCTCTCTGTAAACAATGTGCCGATATAATTAACCAGCATGACTTAATATTAAAATTCATCTCTGTAAACAATGTACCGATATAATTAACCACCATGACTTAATGTTAAAATTCCCCTCTGTAGACATTTTACCGATATAATTAACCAGCACGAGTTAATTTTAAAAGTCCTCTCTGTAAATAATGTACCGATTTAGTTAACCAGCATGAGTTAGTATTAACAGTCCTCTCTGTAAACAATGTACCGATATGATTAACCAGCACGAGTTGGTGTAAACAATGTACCGATATAGTTAACCAGGATTAAGTATTGTTGACAGTCCTTTCTGTAAACAATGTACCGATATAATTAACCAGCATGAGTTAGTGTTAATAGTCCTCTCTGTAAACAATGTACCGATACAGTTAACCAGGATTAAGTCTGGTTAACAGTCATTTCTTTAAACAATGTACCGATATAATTAACCAGCATGAGTTAGTGTTAATAGTCCTCTCTGTAAACAATGTACCGATATAATTAACCAGCATGAGTTGGTGTTAACAGTCCTCTCTGTAAACAATGTACCGATATAATTAACCAGCATGAGTTGGTGTTAACAGCCCTCTCTGTAAACAATGTACCGATATAGTTGACCAGCATGAGTTAATGTTAAAATTCCTCTCTGTAAACAATGTACCGATATGATTAACCAGAATGAGGTAGTGTTAACAGTCCTCTCTGTAAACAATGTACCGATACAATTAACCAGCATGAGTTGGTGTTAACAGTTCTCTTTGTAAACAATGTACCAATATGATTAACCAGAATGAGGTAGTGTTAACAGTCCTCTCTGTAAACAATGTACCGATATAATTAACCAGCATGAGTTGGTGTTAACAGTTCTCTTTGTAAACAATGTACCAATATAATTAACCAGCATGAGGTAGTGTTACAGTCCTCTCTGTAAACAATGTGCCGATATAATTAACCAGCATGAGTTAGTGTCAACAGTCTTCTCTGTAAACAATGTACCGATATAGTTAACCAGCATGACTTAATGTGAAAATTCCTCTCTGTAAACAATGTACCGATATGATTAACGAGGATGACGTAGTGTTAACAGTCCTCTCTGTAAACAATGTACCGATATAGTTAACCAGGATTAAGTATTGTTGACAGTCCTCTCTGTAAACAATGTACTGATATAATTAACCAGCATGAAGTAGTGTTAACAGTCCACTCTGTAAACAATGTATTGATATAATTAACCAGCATGAGGTAGTTTTAACAGTCCTCTCTCTAAACAATGTACCGATATAGTTAACCAGCATGTTAACAGTCCTCTCTGTAAACAATGTACCGATATAGTTAACCAGCAGGTTAAGTCCTCTCTGTAAACAATGTACCGATATAGTTAACCAGCATGAGTTAGTGTCAACAGTCTTCTCTGTAAACAATGTACCGATATAGTTAACCAGCATGAGTTAATGTTAACAGTCCTCTCTGTAAACAATGTACCGATATGATTAACCAGGATGACGTAGTGTTAACAGTCCTCTCTGTAAACAATGTACCGATATAGTTAACCAGCATGAGTTAATGTTAAAATTCCTCTCTGTAAACAATGTACTGATATAGTTAACCAGCATGAGGTAGTTTTAACAGTCCTCTCTCTAAACAATGTACCGATATAGTTAACCAGCATGTTAACAGTCCTCTCTGTAAACAATGTACCGATATAGTTAACCAGCATGTTAACAGTCCTCTCTGTAAACAATGTATTGATATAGTCAACCAAGGTTGCTCTAAACTGAAATGTGTGAAACACTTCCGTGAAACGTGGATCAAGAAACATCATTAACTACGTAGTCAAAGAATTGTATCTAAAGTTGGTTAGATAGTGAAAGAAATAACTGAATAGTTTGGGTGAAGTTGGTTAGATAGTGACACATAACTAGATTGTTTGGGTGAGGCTGGTTAGATAGTGACACATAACTAGATTGTTTGGGTGAGGCTGGTTAGATAGTGAAAGAAATAACTAAATAGTTTGGGTGAAGCCGGTTAGATAGTGACACATAACTAGATTGTTTGGGTGAAGCCGGTTAGATAGTGACACATAACTAGATTGTTTCGGTGAGGCTGGTTAGATAGTGACACATAACTAGATTGTCTGAGTGAAGCTGGTTAGATAGTGACACATAACTAGATTGTTTGGGTGAGGCTGGTTAGATAGTGACACATAACTAGATCGTTTCGGTGAAGCTGGTTAGATAGTGACACATAACTAGATTGTCTGAGTGAAGCTGGTTAGATAGTGACACATAACTAGATTGTTTGGGTGAGGCTGGTTAGATAGTGACACATAACTAGATTGTTTCGGTGAGGCTGGTTAGATAATGACACATAACTAGATTGTCTGGGTGTACTGATGTAGAAGTTATCTTTTTCTACTTTAACTTCTCCTGTCAGCGGGGTATAACATGGTTGCACGTGAGTACTTGTTTTTAATTAGTTGCTAATTTTGCTGAATACCCCACCCCCCTCCTCCACCCCCGGCTCCGAATGGACAACGCACTTTGGCCTCACGTGGATCCTTATAAGAAGATCAGGAGTCGCCTTGGATTTTAAAAGTGACAGGCACTCTAGCCCTTGACCTTTGTTCATTAGGTTACCACGACAACAGCCTTTACTCTGTAATGCTCGAAAGACATCAATACCAGTAAGGCAACTATGAAGACGGATTGTATCTTATTTCCTCAGACTTTATTATATCTCCTTGTTTTATATTTTACCCAATCAGTTTTTTGTAAGATAAAAGCTTTAAACAGTCCAGTTTCTTCTTATTCACATTCCGGGTTACTGTTTACCATTCACACGACAGTTAACGTTTTACTACAATCAATATTCGGGTTATTATTTACTATTCACACGACAGTTAACACGTTAATACTATCACATTCCGGGTTTCTGTTTACCATTCACACAACAGTTAACACGTTAATACAAACACATTCTGGGTTTCTGTTTACCATTCACACGACAGTTAACACGTTAATACAACCACATTCCGGGTTTCTGTTTACCATTCACGCGACAGTTAACACGTTAATACAACCACATTCCGGGTTTCTGTTTACCAGTCACACAACAGTTAACACGTTAATACAACCACATTCCGTGTTTCTGTTTACCAGTCACACAAACAGTTAACACGTTAATACAACCACATTCCGGGTTTCTGTTTACCATTCACACGACAGTTAACACTTTACTACAACCACATTCCGGGTTTCTGTTTACCATTCACACAACAGTTAACACGTTAATACAACCACATTCCAGGTTTCTGTTTACCAGTCACACGACAGTTAACACGTTAATACAACCACATTCCGGGTTTCTGTTTACCAGTCACACAACAATTAACACGTTAATACAACCACATTCCGGGTTTCTGTTTACCAGTCACACAACAGTTAACACTTTACTACAACCACATTCCGGGTTTCTGCTTATCATTCACACGACAGTTAATACGTTAATACAACCACATTCCGGGTTTCTGTCTACCAGTCACACGACAGTTAACACGTTAATACAACCACATTCCGGGTTTCTGTTTACCATTCACACGACATTTAACACTTTACTACAACCAAATTCCGGGTTTCTGTTTACCATTCACACAACAGTTAACACGTTAATACAACCACATTCCGGGTTTCTGTCTACCAGTCACACGACAGTTAACACGTTAATACAACCACATTCCGGGTTTCTGTCTACCAGTCACACGACAGTTAACACGTTAATACAACCACATTCCGGGTTTCTGTCTACTAGTCACACGACAATTAACACGTTAATACAACCACATTCCGGGTTTCTGTTTACCAGTCACACAACAGTTAACACGTTAATACAACCACATTCCGGGTTTCTGTCTACCAGTCACACGACAGTTAACACGTTAATACAACCACATTCCGAGTTTCTGTCTACCAGTCACACGACAGTTAATACAACCACATTCCGGGTTATTGTTTATCATTAACATAACACAGGTGTTATAAACATACATGAACTTTAATACGTGTGTTTTACTATTCGTCGTTTATTACAATTGATTTCGTATGTGTGTATGTTTATCTGTTCTGTTTAGTATACATTTGTTTCACGTGTTAATCGCCACTTAGTGCTACGTTACTTAGCACATCATTGCTGTGTGTTAATCGTCACTTAGTGCTACGTTTCTTAGCACATCCCTCTGGTTTGTGAATTGTTACTTAGCGTTGCGTTACTTAGCACATTTTTGTTGTGTTAATTGTTAGTTAGTGGTGCGTTATTTAGCACATTTGTTTTTTCTGCTAATTGTTACTTTATGTGTGTGTGTTATTTAACACTAAATGTAATCTTTATTAACTTGTTAACAGTCGTGGCATACAATTACGCCATAACGCTGTGTTGGTCAGTTTGGTTTTTCCTCCGATATTTCAAACTTACCATTGATGGTGTAATCTGTCCTAGTACTGTAATTACAGTAATTTCCAAAAGGTGGCGATATAGTCAACAGATAATTGCTAGAAAAGAACGTTTCACGGAACCAAGAGCAATCTTTCTTCAAAATGTCTTGAGTTTGTTACAAAATTCGACCAACGTTAGCAGAGAGTGAAGTAGAATTTATAGGAAGGAGTACGAAACTTGCATAAAAATATAATTAGAATATCTTCAATAACTCGAAAACTCTGGGAGTATAACTGATGAGTAGATTTTTTCGGAAGTGGTACATTATCGTTATTTAAGTCAACTATATCTGGATACTCGAAAACAAGGAAAACTGATATTACTAGTGACATGAAAAGTTCCAACCATACAACCAAGATCTGGCTTGTTTTCTCAGGTGAGTACGTTAATCATAAAAAAAAACTCACGATTTGTAGATAAGATATTTGATCTTATAACTGAAGTAGAGACTCTTATTTTCCAGGTGTTCTCTCCAGTTGAAGTTGTAGTAGAGACTCTTATTTTCTAGGTGTTCTCTCCAGTTGAAGTTATAGTAGAGGTTGTTATTTTCTAGGTGTTCTCTCCAGTTGAAGTTGTAGTAGAGACTCTTATTTTCTAGGTGTTCTCTCCAGTTGAAGTTGTAGTAGAGACTGTTATTTTCCAGGTGTTCTCTCCATTGGAAGTTGTAGTAGAGGTTGTTATTTTCCAGGTGTTCTCTCCAATTGAAGTTGTAGTAGAGACTCTTATTTTCTAGGTGTTCTCTCCAGTTGAAGTTGTAGTAGAGACTCTTATTTTCTAGGTGCTCTCTCCAGTTGAAGTTGTAGTAGAGACTCTTATTTTCTAGGTGTTCTCTCCAGTTGAAGTTGTAGTAGAGACTCTTATTTTCTAGGTGTTCTCTCCAGTTGAAGTTGTAGTAGAGACTCTTATTTTCCAGGTGTTCTCTCCAGTTGAAGTTGTAGTAGAGACTCTTATGTAATAATATTTGGACAAAGCTAGAAACAGTGTGTTGTTAAATATCAGGCAGGCGGTAGCACTGCTTATGTAGGGATGGCTCGGATTGTTCATCTAAATGGTATTTTAAATATCTCCTCAATAGGTCATCAGAACTTTATAATACTATACAGTGTTTCGTTTTATAACAATATCTATGTAATGACTGAGTCACAAGTTCTGGGAATATCTGTAAACATCATAGTAAAAAGTTTGAATTTCTTGTTCTTCTTTCTTCTGCTTCTTTTTTATTACATGATAACTCAAAAACCAATTTCACTGAGATGAAATAGTTCGAATTGGATTATCCGCTTTTATAAATACTATTAAATAATAGTAATTCAAAAAATCTTAATTCTAGTAATGTATCATTACCCCTTGAAGATAGCTTTCTTGCTATCTATATATATTAGTTGTGTGACGGTTTTTGATATTATGTTAAACGTATATTTTCCTGATACAGCTTATATGCTATATTAAACATATACTACTTCTGAAACTGTTTTTGATGTTCGTTGAATGTATATAAATTCTGAGACAGTTTTATCAAGCTTTATTTCTACAAAGAGTCTGGTCAGGAGTTTAGTCCTCGAAGTGTCACTCTCAAGATTAAGCCTGAATTCTACAAATAGTTCGGTCAGAAATGTGGTCCTTAAATTACCACTCTCAAGTGTAAAATAGGAGTGTGGTCCTTAAGCTTCAACTCTCAAGTGTAAAATAGGAGTGTGGTCCTTAAGTTACCACTTTCAAGTGTAAGATAGGAGTGTGTTTCTTAAGTTACCACTCTCAAGTGTAATATAGGAGTGTGGTCCTTAAGTTACCACTCTCAAGTGTAATATAGGAGTGTGGTCCTTAAGTTACCACTCTCAAGTGTAAGATAGGAATATGATCCTTAAGCTTCAACTCTCAAGTGTAAAATAGGAGTGTGGTCCTTAAGTTACCACTCTCAAGTGGAAGATAGGAGTGTGGTCCTTAAGCTAAGACTCTCAAGTGTAAGATAGGAGTGTGGTCCTTAAGCTACCACTCTCAAGTGTAAGATAGGAGCGTGGTCCTTAAGCTACCACTCTCAAGTGGAGGATAGGAGTGTGGTCCTTAAGCTTCAACTCTCAAGTGTAAGATAGGAGTGTGATCCTTAAGTTACCACTCTCAAGTGTAAGATAGGAGTGTGGTCCTTAAGCTACCACTCTCAAGTGTAAGATAGGAGTGTGGTCCTTAAGCTACCACTCTCAAGTGGAGGATAGGAGTGTGGTCCTTAAGCTTCAACTCTCAAGTGGAGGATAGGAGTGTGGTCCTTAAGCTACCACTCTCAAGTGGAAGATAGGAGTGTGGTCCTTAAGCTACCACTCTCAAGTGGAAGATAGGAGTGTGGTCCTTAAGTTACCACTCTCAAGTGTAAGATAGGAGTGTGGTCCTTAAGTTACCACCCTCAAGTTTAAGATAGGAGCGTGGTCCTTAAGCTACCACTCTCAAGTGGAAGATAGGAGTGTGGTCCTGAAGTTACCACTCTAAAGTGTAAGATAGGATTGTGGTCCTTAAGCTAAGACTCTCAAGTGTAAGATAGGAGTGTGGTCCTTAAGCTACCACTTCCAAGTTTAAGCCTAATACTTCCCTCCAAAGCGAATGAATACCAGGAATGATATCGCTAGTTGTTTGTGAAATAGTAAACTTGTCAGTTAAAGACGCTTAATTTGTGATCTTTAGAAGAAGGAGAATGTAGATATTTTTCTATTGGAGTTTTTTTTTTTAAACAAATTCATATTGTCATTTTAAAATACGTTGAGTAAAGATAAAATTAAGTAGGTGCTATAAAGCATGGTAGCTGTTTGACAAAACCAACTACAGAAAGTAACAATCTTTTTTAAAGTTATAACTTGATATTAACCACAGAAGTTAACAGTTCAAATTAATTACAGACAGCAAAGGTTTGTTTGTAAGAATCTAAATTACGGTATTGAAAGTTTAATTGAAACTGTTATGTGTTTATTACTCGTCGTAGAATAAGATCGACACAGTTTGTTTTCACCCATCACCTGGGTTTATTGGACTGAAGCAGGTTTTCAACACAAATCAGATATAAGAAGCTCATTAGAGAAACTTTATTTACAACTAGTGTTCCCTGGGTTTGAAAATGTGTGACTGATCGTGGAAACACACCAATTTGTTGTAGTAATATGTTGTAGACCAATATACAGTTAGTGCGTGTTAGACAGTATCTAAACTAGTGACAAGATTGTCACAAGAGTCCGTCCGGTCTATTTAAGTTAACTTTGAAATACTGTCAGCAAAAGGTCAACTCGAGAAGAGGTCACGGAACTTCACACGGTGTAATACTGCAAGGGATATAAGTCGAGAAAATGTCACACAACTTTACAACAATATAGTATTGTAAGAGGTCAAGCTGAGAAGTGGACACAAGGCCTCGTAATAATGTAGTATTACAAAAGATAACAGTGAAGAATGGACTATACCTTACAACAGTGTAGTGTTACAAGAGGTCAAGCTGAGAAGTGGACACAAGGCCTCGTAACAATGTAGTATTACAAAAGATGACAGTGAAGAATGGACTATACCTTACAACAGTGTAGTGTTACAAGAGGTCAAGATGAGAAGTGGACACAAGGCCTCACAACAATCGACTAGTTCATAATATACGAGAACTCTTAATGAGTGCTAAAAAAAGGTTTTGATTTTAGAAAAATAGAATACAGTTAATATACCAAATTAAAAATGCACCATCTGTAATTCATGTATATGATAAAAATGAAAGTTTAAAACAAGTTATGTTAGCATCTTTACATGACAGGCCTTGAGCCACATCTATGTTTACAGTAGTTATGTTAGCATCTTTACATGACAGGCCTTGAGGCACATCTATGTATAAACAAGTTATGTTAGCATCTTTACATGACAGGCCTTGAGGCACATCTATGTTTACAGTAGTTATGTTAGCATCTTTACATGACAGGCCTTGAGGCACATCTATGTTTAAACAAGTTATGTTAGCATCTTTACATGACAGGCCTTGAGGCACATCTATGTTTACAGTAGTTATGTTAGCATCTTTACATGACAGGCCTTGAGGCACATCTATGTATAAACAAGTTATGTTAGCATCTTTACACGACAGGCCTTGAGGCACGTCTATGTTTAAACAAGTTATGTTAGCATCTTTATATGACAGGCCTTGAGGCACATCTATGTTTAAACAAGTTATGTTAGCATCTTTACACGACAGACCTTGAGGCACATCTATGTTTACAGTAGTTCTGTTAGCATCTTTACATAAAAGGGCCTTGAGGCACATCTATGTTTACAGTTTACAAATTTTAGAGGAAAATCGAAACTTTGTAGTTAGGAACGAATTCTTCTTCCAATAACAGCGGTTGCCAATTAATAAAAGCCTTTTTTTTATTTCGATAACATAATGATTATTTGATATTTCTGGCAGAATGAAGTTACCAATTTTATTATATATTCGAATATTAACAATACAAAGTAGGCTATCACTTCATAATTATAATAGCCCTAAAATTAATCATTAATCATATATCGCTGCGTGTTTCTGAGTTTGACAAACCTACAAATACTTTATAGTTATGGTAATAAATAAAAAAAAACGAAAAATTAATAATCTATAAATTTGGATTTATTGAAAAATAAATTAGGTCCATATTTAAAATTATCAGCAGAAATACATATTATGGTCATTATTATATTTTTATTTGAATTCAAATACAAAATTAAATAATTTTCATGAAGATATAAACCGAATCGCCAATAGACACAAAATGTAGAAGACACACAAATCAATACAGATATTGTATAAGTTGGTATTACTATAGTTTACATGAAGTGGACAATAAGCGTACGTAGAAATCCTCAAAGTTGTAGTCATGTTTATAAATTAATGTAAACTGAGTCAAAACAGACGCGAAAGTCTGTAGAGCAAATTCCAATTAGAAGGAAACCAGCAGTAAACAACAGTTCTTCTCTGATCAGTAAAGACATGACTTTCAGTCTTGACTTGTCTCGGTTTTCCTTTTCTTTTCGATACACAGGGGAGAAGAGTGTTCATAATATATCTGAGTTTAGTTAAAACTTAGTTTCGGCACATCTCCCATAATGTTCATTATTTGATTCTGACCTCCAAAGATCAGTTTTTTAACTTGTTAGTTTAATTAGTTATTGCATTAACAGAATCAATGAAGTCAACAATTTTGACATTGAGTCCAATCCTCATGTTTCATACTTCAGTAGCTGACAAAGAAAGAAGACGACGCTTACCGAGGCTGGATTAGTTTTATAAAACTTATCTTGGGATATCAGTTTGTTAATTACGTAATTTTCACTATAGAAATACTTCATTTGACGATTCGTGCCTAACTTATCTGTCTTCATAACACACAGCCTTTTCCATTAAATTCTTCGAACTGTTACTCTTTTTATTCACATATGACACATTCAAGTTGTATTTACATTAGTACTTTCTTTGCATTGGAGATAAAATGTTTGTGTACCATTTTGTGTCATCAGTTTACGGTTTATTCATGAGGTAAAATGTTTGTGTACCATTTTGTTTAATCAGTTTACGGTTTCTTCTTGAGATAACATGTTTGTGTACCATTTTGTTTCATCAGTTTACGGTTTATTCTTGAGGTAAAATGTTTGTGTACCATTTTGTTTCATCACTTGACGATTTATTCCCGAGGTAAAATGTTTGTGTACCATTTTGTGTCATCAGTTTACAGTTTATTCTTGAGGTAAAATGTTTGTGTACCATTTTGTTTCATCAGTTTACGGTTTATTCCCTAGGTAAAATGTTTGTGTACCATTTTGCGTCATCAGTTTACGGTTTATTCTTGAAATAAAATGTTTGTGTACCATTTTGTGTCATCAGTTTACGATTTATTCTTAAGACTTTCTTGTTTAATGAAACCACATCAGAAGAAACACCGTAACGTGGAGAAGTGTGACTTTGTCAGATAAAACGTTTATTAAAATGAAGTGTGACTGTATCAGATGAGACTTTTATGAAAATGAAATGTGACTGTATCAGATAAGACTTTTATTAAAATGAAGTGTGACTGTATCAGATGAGACTTTTATTAAAACGAAGTGTGACTGTATCAGATAAGACTTTTATTAAAATGGAGTGTGACTGTATCAGATAAAACGTTTATTAAAATGAAGTGTGACTGTATCAGATAAGACTTTTATTAAAATGAATGTGACTGTATCAGATAAGACTTTTATTAAAATGAAGCGTGACTGTATCAGAAACGTTTATCAAAATGAAGCGTGACTGTATCAGATAAGACTTTTATTAAAATGAAGTGTGACTGTATCATATAAAACGTTTATTAAAATGAAGCGTGACTGTATCAGAAACGTTTATTAAAATGAAGCGTGACTGTATCAGATAAGATTTTTATTAAATGAAGCGTGACTGTATCAGAAACGTTTATTAAAATGAAATGTGACTGTATCAGATAAGATTTTTATTAAAATGAAATGTGACTGTATCAGATAAGACTTTTATTAAAATGAAGTGTGACTGTATCAGATGAGATTTTTATTAAAATGGAGTGTGACTGTATCAGATAAGACTTTATTAAAATGAAGTGTGACTGTATCAGATAAGACTTTTATGAAAATGAAATGTGACTGTATCAGATAAGACTTTTATTAAAATGGAGAAGTCTGACTTTGTCAGATAAGACCCTTATCAAAATGAAGTGTGGAGCTGACTAAATAAAAAATTTGTTTACGCAAATCGAAACACTGATAAGGGTACGAAACAGCTCACTAGGTGGCAGCCTTCATTCATAAATCAAAACCTCAGGTTACGCGGTCATTGATCACGCTACATATGTCTGTCAAATATTTTTGTGGACTGCTTTTTTCCTCGGAATACAATCTTTAGACGTGAAATATCGTATTAGGATGATTAGATATAACGAACTAGTCAAATAACATTTCGCGCAAACTAATGCAATCATTATATAAACAGATTATATCTCACAACTTTAAACAGATTATATCTACCATATTTAAACAGATTATATCTCACAACTTTAAACAGATTATATCTCACAACTTTAAACAGTTTATATCTCACAACTTTAAACAGATCATATCTACAATCTTTAACAGATTATATCTCACAACTTTAAACAGATTATATCTACCATCTTTAAACAGATTATATCTCCAATTTTAAAGCAGATTGTATCTTAAAACTTTAAACAGATTATATCTTGTTGTAAGATATAAACTGTTTAAAGATTGGAGATATAATCTGTTTAAAGTTGTGAGATATAATCTGTTTAAACCAATCTTTAAACAGATTATATCTCACAACTTTAAACAGATTATATCTCACAACTTTAAACAGATTATATCTCACAACTTTAAACAGATTATATCTCCAATCTTTAAACAGTTTATATCTTACAACTTTAAACAGATTATATCTCACAACTTTCAACAGATTATATCTCCAATCTTTAAACAGTTTATATCTTACAACTTTAAACAGATTATATCTCACAACTTTAAACAGATTACATCTACAATATTTAAACAGATTATATCTCACAACTTTAAACAGATTATATCTACAATCTTTAAACAGATTATATCTACAATCTTTAAACAGATTATATCTACAATCTTTAAGCAGATTATATCTACAATCTTTAAACAGATTACATCTACAATA